GGTGTACATGACATCAGCTTTCTGAATATTACAGCAATAGACTGGTCACTTCCCTGCCACCTACCAACCATCCATCAGGCATGTGAGATGAGACATTGTACCTCTTGTCCAAGGGTCCTGTCACCTACACTGTAAATCTTACTTCCTCACAAGTAGGGGGCTGGTAATGTCTTCCTCATATCATTCTTCACATACATTCATCAATATCTTCATCTCTTTCTTTTAAGCCTATACATATGCACAAGTACGCTCTGTAAAGGTGCTAGTTGAACAGTTGTCCACCTCTAGGCATGGCTCTATCCTTCTGTCCCTCCACCAGTCAAGTACCTTGAAAGACAGTTCCATGTTTAGAGCTCATTCTCAATGTCTCCTTACCCATCTTCTCCTCAACCCTCCACAGTCCTGCTTCTACCCTGTCTTGGTTACTTTTCCTATCACTGTGACTGAATACGCACCAGAAACAGGTTAAGGGAGAAAGGGCTTATTTGGGCTTCTATTTCTGGGGAAATGCCGTGATGACAGAGAATGCATGATGGTGGGAGCTCACACCTGGGGTACCAGGAGGATGAGGCAGCTGGTCATAGTAGACAGAAAGCAGAGACCTTTCCCAGATGCAGGGGAAGGCTCTGACCTTCAGGGGCCTGCCTGAAGTGACTCACCCTTACCAGCTATGTCTGTCACCCCAGATTTCCCACTCAGAGAGTGACACCAGCTGGGAACCAAGTGTTCAAACACAGAAGCCTTCGTAGACATTTCCCATTCAGAGGTAAAGTAGCTCCATCACCTTACTGAAATGTCTCTGATGAAGGGCATCAACGATTTCCCGGACCAGGGGCTATTTTTTAATCTATTACCCCAGTTTCTCCCCACATTTCATGCTGAGGACCACTGACTTCTTGGGCTCTGTTCTCCTGAGTCCTGTGACACTTCTTTGTTCTCCTGTCTTCTCTAAGAGTGTTTTCTTTGGGCCGCAAACTCCCGGATCCCCCCTACACTCCAATATAGGGGAAAGTTCCATCACCATGTTCTGTCCCAAGCCAAAGTTACTGCTGGGTTCCTCCACCACTGGCTCCAAGGAACCCTGCCTGTGAGATGATTCTCTGTGCTGTGGATATCGCTCTATATAAATAAAATACTGATGGCCAGTGACCAGACAGGAAGTATAGGCGGGACAAGGAGAGAGGAGAATTGGGGAAACAGGAAAAAAGAGGGAGAGACACTGCAGCCACCCCCAGGACAAGCAGCATGTAAAGACGCCGGTCAGCCACCAGCCACGTGGCAAGGTATAGATATATAGAAATGGGTTAATTTAAGATAAAAGAACAGTTAGCAAGAAGCCTGCCACGGCCATACAGTTTATAAGTAATATAAGCGTCTGAGTGATTATTTTATATGTGGATTGTGGGACTGCGGGGCTTGGTGGAACCTGGAGAGAAGCCCTCCAGCAACATCTCTGTCCGCTTTCTGCAGTATGGGCACCTTGGCCTGGTGGTCTTCTTTATCTCTCTCAGACTTCAGTAGGAGCTTTCAGACTCTCACCCTACCTCTTCCGTATTAAGTCTTTCTTCACCCAATAGATGGCATGGTACGATGTTACAAAAAAAATGGTGTATACTTCTGGAGGGTCTCATCAGTGTGCTATAACTGATGAGTGCTCTATAGAGTGGTGCCAGGTTTCCCACAAACTATGAATACTATATTCCAGAATTGACCTCTCCTGCAGCCTCTTTTTACTATATGGTCACCACATGCAGCTGCCTATGCGTTCTGCAGACTCCAATTCTGTTCTATCCCAAGGCCTTTGCTCAGGTACCCACTTGGCCTCCTGGGCTCACCTCGCATTCCCAAACAACAATTAAGTGAATAACAATCTATTTGATTTCTGCACCAGGTTCTTGCTATGTAGACCAGGTGGGCTTTGAACCCATGACTACTTTTCCTCCACCTCTCCAGTGCTAGGATTGCAGATATTAAGTGAACCTCATACCTCACTCTTAGAGATGTTTTATGACTCAGCTCAGGCATCCTCCCTGTTCGGGATGTGCCTAACTGCCAGGTTGACTATCAAGTACCATTTCTCTCCACCCTGCTGCAGCTTGATCTTCATTACTTGAAGTAAGGATGCTTGTACTCATTCTTCAAAGCGGAAAATGAGAAGCCTGTGTCTTCAGTAGGCCTCTGCATGGGGAGCTCCAGACCTCTGGCCTTCCTAATGAGTAGTCCTCCACTCTGAGAACAAATTACACCCAGACTCAAAAGTTGTTTTCTGTGCCATCTCGTCTCCCTTATCATAGTTTACTGCCCAATGTGACTACTTGTCATAAAACCAGAAGTGACTTGGGGCTGGGGGGTGGTCAGGGCTTGAACTAATTCACAGGTACCATTAACTGACTGAATACTATGTCAGGAATGTTCTAGACCTGGGGGCTAGATAGATGGTGATGGAACATGAGTTCCAGGATCCAACAGGATGGCTGGGTTCAGTGGCTCATCTCACTACCCTCTCCAGAGGCCCACACGACACCCTGTAACATGGTAAGATGACAATTCTAAGTCACACTTCTTCTTGGGGGGTTAAGAGTGGAGTGACCAAGGAAAACAGAAGCCCACTGGGGAGGTATTCCAGGTAAGGGGGCAATATGTGTGTGGATATACAGGTGAGTGATGGGAAGGGGAGAGAGACCAAGAGACAAACAGGGAGGGACGGAGGAGACCTGTGCCGGTGGGAAGGGGGAACAAGGTGAGGAGGTGCTTGATGAAGAGACGGAGTCAACTGTGACGAGGTAGGGAATTGTTGGGAGCAGTCGTTAAAAGTGGGGCTGGAGTGCTGAGTTTTGATGGTTGAGCTGTAGGGTGCTGCTGAAGAGCAGAGCAAGGATTTCTCTGAAGCATTCTGGAATCCAGAGGTCAGGGGAAGGGTGTGGCCCATGGGGATTTGGAGGTCATCTCTAAACAACTTCTGTCTAAAGTCTGCTCAGGTTTCCATAGCACCAAGCCCTAAGTTGAGCTGAAACAATAGAGATTCGTTGGTCATAGTTCAAGAGCCAGAAAGTTCAAGATCAAAGGGCCACACCTTTGATGTCTCATGTGTCCTTTCTTCTTGGCTCAAAGTTGGTATTTAATCTGTGTTTACACACCCACAGTGTCTCTTCAAAAGACACCAGTCTGATTGGATTGAGTCCCCACACAGTGGGCCTCATTCTAATGAGTGACTTTTAAATTTATTTATTTATTTTCTGTATATGAGTGACCTGTCTTCATGCACACCAGAAGAGGGAATCAGATCCCATAACAGATGGCTGTGAGCTGCCATGTGGGTGCTGGGAATTGAATTCAGAACCTCTGGAAGAGCAACCAGTGCTCTGAATGGCTGAGCCATCTCTCTAGCCCCTGAGTGACTTTTTTGAAGGCAGTTATCTCCAGATAAATGTACCATTAAATCCTAACCATAGCCTCATTTAATCTGAATTACTTCTTGTAATGCCCTCTATCCAAATGTGACTGCACAGAGGATTCAGGCTTCAGCATGTAAATGACAAGGGACACACAATTCAGTCTATAACAAGTGGCCTCCAGTGAAATGTTTACTATAAATATAGAGTGAATACCATCCTTCCCTTAATTTCTACAAAGTACCAGTTGACTGCTCGGCAGATCTGTGCATCTCTTTAGGTTCTTCCCTGAATGTTCCCGAGGCTCCTTGAAGCTCCCTCTGTGTCCCATCAGCTCCTGCTTCCCATGACCACCTCCTGCTTGGGTATCTGCCCTAGGTTCTTCCCTTGCTACACAAGGTGCATCTTCCTCAAATTCTGTCTTAGTTACTTTTCTATTGTTGTGATAAGATACCATGACGAGGGAGCATGGCAGCAGGCTGGCAGGCATTGGGGCTGGAGCAGTAGCTAACAGCTCACATCTTGAAGACACAACCATGAGGCAGAGAGAGCTAACAGAAATGGAATGAAACCTTAGAGCCTGCCCAGTGGCACACCTTCTCTAGGAAGTCCATGCCTCCTAATCCTTCCCAATCAGTTCCAACAACCGAGGAAGAACTATTCAAACATATGGGCCTGTGGTGTGCGTGTGTGTGTGTGTGTGTGTGTGTGTGTGTGTGTGTGTGTGTGTGTATTCTCACTCACGCCATTGTATCACACTTCCCTGATTTACTCAAAGTATAGATACAGCTCCAACTTCAACTCCCCCAAACTTGTCAACCAGGAGAGTTGAGTGCTCAATGAAAATTTAACAAAATGCAGCAAATTCATATCTGTGTAGCCTTGGACATGTTACCTAATGTTTGTATATTGGTCTCCACAATGGGCAAAATAAGTGCACTTTTTAACTTATCCATTAAACTCCATGGAGGGCTACAAGTGGGTCCAAAGACAAGATTTGTCCTTGAAGCTGAAAGTTCTCATAGAGATCACTGTGACCAAGTGGAAGATGAAAAAGAAGGACCAGGACAAGGGGAAGCTCTTAGAAGTGAGAGGAATGAACAAGAAGCAGCAGTGTTGTTTGGACCAGTGCACCCTGCCCAGGGAGCCTTCAAGATGATACGGAAAAGGGGAAATATTCTGAAAAGAGCATCTTAGAGGCTGTCTGCAGACACCTGTGCTGTGGGATGGTCTGTATGTCAAATTGCTCTGATTGGTCAATAAATAAAACACTGATTGGCCAGTGGATAGGCAGAAAGTATAGGTAGGACTAACAGAGAGGAGAAAAGAAAGAACAGGAAGGCAGAAGGAGTCACTGCCAGCCGCCGCCATGACAAGCAGAATGTGAAGATGCTGGTAAGCTACAAGCCATGTGGCAAGGTATAGATTTATGGAAATGGATTAATTTAAGCTATAAGAACAGTTATCAAGAGGCCTGCCACGGCCACACAGTTTGTAAGCAATTTAAGTCTCTGTGTTTACTTGGTTGGGTCTGAGCGGCTGTGGGACTGGCGGGTGACAAAGATTTGTCCTGACTGTGGGCCAGGCAGGAAAACTCTAGCTACATACCTGGATACACTCATGGAGTGTTATAGCAGCCCTCAGATCAGCTAGACCGAGTGACCTCATGGCCCCAGCTGTGGAGCAGCATCTGGGGGAATAAGAAGCAAAGTCGTTTTGTAACCTGAGACTCTCATGTTTTCTACAAATAATCTGTGCACATTGAAGTATCCTTTGCCAAGACTGTGCCTTTAAAAATCGTGTCCCCTCATTCTGGAACTCGATTGAATCTTATTCACCTGTTTAAAATACAAGTCCTCCATTTAACCACCTCAATTCGATCACAAATTCCTTCCAAGACTATGAGTCATATTAACAAAATACTAAGCTAATGTAACATTAATATACAGTGTGTGTGTGTGAGTGTGTGTGTATCTGACCAAGAATGCATGATATGAGCAACACATTTATAGAAAAATATACCTTGCAGAACAGTAGCAGTATGGAAATAGTTCTTACATGACTGGCATTCAGATCCCTATTATTTTTGTCATCATAAAGAATAAAAATCCTGGGTATTGCATGGTGGTGCATGCCTTCAATCCCAGCACTCGAGAGGTAGAGTTAGGCAGATCTCTGTGAGTTCAAGGCCAACAGGATCTACAAAGCAAGTTCCAGAGTTCCAGGACAGCCATGAGTGTTACATGGAGAAACCCTGTCTTGAAAAAAAAAAAAAGAAAAAGAAAGAAAGAAAGAAAAAGAAAAAAATCACGGCTTGAAAGTGTTAGTTAAATTAATCTACTGTAGCCATTTATCTGGCTTTATCCAGATTTTGGGCTTAGATCATTTAACCAAAGGGATAGTTTTATCATAGAATACCTCAGAACCATTCATTTCTTGAGAGATTCCTGGGTGTCAGGCAACAACTGCTTACAAGGTCTCTCAGATATGGAGAGTAAGAGCTTTGATCTTACCCAGTTCAATAAGAATATTAACCTTGGAAGTGGACTATTTGAGAAGGGACTATTGGGGGCCGGTGAAGAAGGATGAGCTAATAACAAAGGGTGTGAATATGTTCAAAGTTCATTATATTCTTCATAAAAATGTCATAATGATGCCCATTGCTCTGTATACCTACAATACGCTAATTAGAAGGGAAAATGAGAAACAGATCTACATTAAAAAATAATTAATACTTCATTAGATCCCAAGTGGCTTTAGTTTATGTATTTTGTAAACACTTCACATTTAGTGATATAAACATATTTACTTACAAAGGTTCATTGTAAGAGTTCATGCCTTAGGCGTTTTTGGTTTTGGTTATATTTGTTTGTGGTGCTGTGGATCAAACATGAGCTAAATCCCAAGCCTTATTGCATCCAGCCTGTCAACTTAATGTATGTTAGAATCGCCCCATTGCAATATGTACCTGTCTCCACTTTCACGGCTGTATGGTCCTACTCTATTTTGCAGACGCATTGTTTTAGCCAGTTTCTAGTTAATAGGACTTAATAATTTTTTTGTGTATTATTATTACAAGTGGCTTTTTGGTGGACAGCCTCACATAAATGCCATTTATATTTTTCATCAGTATGATTTAAAATACTTAGAACTTAAAGCTTCTAAGGTTGTGTGACTATCATATAAGGAATATGGCAAAGATTAGGCCTTGACTCCCAAATACCTACTAACAAAAGGAATTCACATTTGTACTCTGCAGAAATCCTTTTCATTGTCCCTAGCCCTTCAGAAAGTCTTAATTAGTCAACATCATTTATGGACAAACCAGTGGGGATGGGTCCTGGCCAGGGCCTCTGACATCAGTACCTCCTTTGCCTTGAATGGCCTGTTTCCCTTGTGCCCACCACAGATGAGGCGATGTGGGGTCACTGCAAGGAGAGTGGGCATGTGTGGGTAAAGCACAGCCACATTTATATAATCTGTGGTTGTGTGGTGCTGTGACAGAGAAATATCTTGTTCCCAAACAAGCAAACTGGCTGGCCCAGGGGCGGGTCACCCTGTGAGCACATGAGGTTAGTGTGTGGGAGGTCCTGAGAGGTGAAACTGGATATATTAGAGCCTTGGGCTGCTGGGGTCTCAGCAAGACTTCCCATTGGCCATCATCACCACCCAAGCACTCCCTGTGCCAGGAATGGGTACCCCTTTGCCTCTGCTAAGACCAACTCCTTTCAATCGGGTAGAATGAGTGCTATCCATCTTTTCCCTCATCAAATATTAAGCCCAGTTGTTTCCAGAGCCACCCGCCTGTCAACATGTAAGCAGTGTTAGAACTATAGCAACACTTATACTAACAAACGGAGGGCAAACGGTGCCCTTCCTGAGAGAGAAGAGTCCTTTGTAGAAACAAGACAGGCTTAATGAATTCCATAGTGTAATATTCCCTAATTGTATATCCTTCCAAATCAAAGACCACTTGAGTGTTTCTAAAATTTTACACTCACAAGCTGAGTGCAGGGGCTGGGGAGGAAATTTTGTGCCAAGGTTTTACTTCTTCTTACATCCAGCTCTAACCTCCTTTCAGGAGGCCATGCCATTTTGAAGAAAGCCATGGTTGCTCCCAGCTAAGACATGGACAGCTCCCCTCCTGATTCATCTCCATGCTAAGCTTCAGAAAGTGAGGAAATGTGGTCTTGGGTGAAAGATGTTAATTCTGGAGAACAGTTTGGAATAAAGAAGTCCAGGGGGGAAATAGCTACCTTTATAATGCTAATTATGGTTAATAGTTGAAAGGAGGAGGCTATAAAAACAGTGCAAACTGGAAGACAGCCCACCAAGTAAAATTAGAAGTTATTCATTGACTTTGGGGTAGGTGGGGCTTTTTCTTTTTTTAGACTCTCCCCAGAAGGTCCTGAGCTTAGATTTATTTATGCATTTGTTTGTTTATATTTTCTCCCCATAGGGTCTCAAATTGCTCAGGCTGGCCTAAACTCCCTATGTGGCCAAGGCTCGCCTTAAACTCCTGATATTTCCACCTTTACCTCCCAAATGCTTGGGTTACAGAGGTGTATCACTGTACCTACCTCCTGAGCTCAGATTTTATGTATGTATGTATTTATGTATTTATTTTGAGACAGGGTTTCTCTGTGTAGTTCTGGTGCCTGCTCTGGATCTTGCTCTGTAGACCAGGCTGGCCTTGAACTTACAGAGATCCACCTGGCTCTGCCTCCGGGGTGCTAGGATTAAAGGCGTGCGCCACTGCCATTCGGCCTGAGCTCGATTTTAAAACAAGGCTTCCCGAACACTCAGCTCTTCCCAACTCCCTCCTTGCACAGCTAGCATGGCCTCAAGCCACTCTGTTTCTAGAGTTGGCAGGGAAATTCTCTTCTTCCCACTGTAGGATGATTTCAACTGACCTTGGAGCCAGATAGTTCTCCTGGATCCCGAGAAAACTGACACCAAGAAGACGGGCTTGGGCATGAGGCCTGAGGTCAGCAGTTCCTGGCTCCAAACCTGAACTCTCAAGTGTCACCATCTTGAGAAAATCTGTATTTTGATTGACTTAGTGATCGATTCTTTATTCCAAAAGGGCTCTGGGGAAAGAAAACGTTATAGAAGAATTGGACTATTAAGGCTTCTGTTGCAAACTACTTAGCCAGTAAGTATGTTCAAAGCCAAGCAGACAATGTTAGCTTCCTGGCTTTAACTTGAGTGTTGCCAAAATCTGGCCAGAACCAAGAGTCACTATACACACCACCAAATTCCTTGGCTTACTCGGCCAGAGGAATCCTGGGTAGATAGGTACAGTGATGACCTTTTTGAACATGCTTAGTCTGCAAAGACCAACCATGGTAGAAGGTGTAGTAGATAATAGTTCTGTCTGTGCTACATGGAGGCTATGAACAATCTTAGCCAAGCAAAGGGACCACATTTACATGATGGTGGCCTATGCAGCAAAGCCACCAAAGCATTCTGGGAAGTCCTCTGAGCAGGCTTTTGAAGCCTTCATCTGAAATTCAGAAAGGAACGGATTTTGCCTCTTTAAGGTTTCCCCAGTAATTGAGTTCATGGACAGGTGGAGGCTAATTATGCTTTGGTCAGACTGTTGTCTAAGAATATGTCAGTCAGCAAAATGGTACCAGATCTCCATTCAGTTGGGTTTCTGATATGGCAGATCCCCTGTTTCTTGATAATATTTCTCAGCTGAACAATAAGAGCACATTTTCCTTATCTTGTGCTGCCAGGATGAGGCTGTTCCAAGTCTCCCAACATATCCAGCATCTCTCTCTTCTTTCCAGAATCCAGTCCTAGGATTCTAGAAGAAATACCCAGAAAATATAGGTTTGGCAAAGATAAAATAGTGCTTTGTGCTTTGGGAGTGACATCATAATTAACATCAGGATGACCCTGTTGAACACATAATGTGCATTTACCTTGATGTATAAAATTTTGGGAAACCATAGATGCACCTGTTTAGATAGGGTTCCCTTGTTAAAATGAAATCTCCAAGGACATGATCATGGGTTAATCCTCAGCTTTCTGTAATACTTATGCCAAATAAAGGGCATAAAGTTTATGTGAATTCTGGGCTAGTCTGATTATAGCCCAGTATTGTTATTATTTCAATTGTAGTCCAAACCAGTTCCCATATTTGATCAGTACTATACCTGGAGTAGCTTTGAAATACTGCCTCATGTCTGAAAATTATTGTACCAGACTTTTTTTGAGGGGGTGGGGTTGGGTGGGTGGAGCACCAACCAGCTCCCTGATCATGACACAGAAACTTCCTATTAGTTATGAATTCTTGACCTGCCTTGGGCTCATTTCTGGCCCTTTTAACTTAAATTAACCCGTTTCTCTTTACCTTTCGCCTTGGGGCTTTTTAACCTTTCTTTCTGTATATCTTACTTCCACTGCTTCTCTTGTCCGGCTGGCTTGTGGCTGCCTGGCTTCCAGCCCCCGGCATCTCCCTCATTCTCTCCTCCTTCTCTTGTTCCTCTTGAGCCTAGAGTTTCCCCTCCTATTTATTCTCTCTGCTTGTCAGCTCGGCCTGTCCCTCTCCTGACTAGCTATTGGCCATTCAGCTTTTTATTAGACCAATCAGGTGACTTAGGCAGGTAAGCTGAAACAAATGCAACACAAACACATCTTTACATAATTAAACACTTTACATAATTAAACTTACATCGTTAAACAAATGCAGCGTAAACAAACGTAGCGCACCTTTACACAGTTAATGTAATATTCCATAGCATAAACAAATGTAACACATCTTTACATAGTTAAAGTAATGTTCCACAACACATTACCTCGTTTCCACACAATCATGCTTTGGTTAAAAACAAAGTCACTTACCCCTGTTTCCTGGGTTCACAACTGGTGGCCAGAGGGAGAAGGACAGGGTTTAAAATTTAATCGCTGCGTACAATGTGTTTCAAGGTGGGGTGATTTGGAAAGGATATTGCTAGACGGTTACACTTTAACAAAGTGTAAACACACATGCACAGCCCAGAATCCAGACAACTGTGCCCTGCAACATGGGGAACAGTCTATACTGTAAAGAGCACAGGCTCCCAGGCAGTTTCCATTTTTTCCCTTAGAGACACAGTTCCTGGTTTTTCCCCCTACCTCCTTTTTCCTTTCATCCCTCCCTCCCTTCGTTCCATTCATGGTACAGCTGTACACAGAGGGCCAGAGAGAAGAAAGAAGGATGTGGTCATGCCGCCGGGCAGGGGAAGCGGTGTCATCTGGGGTCTGCTCTGGATGGATTATCACACGATTGTGTTTGGGAAGACCTGTAGCTGAGAAGAGTGTTTCTACCCAGGAGGAAAAGCATGGGGGAAGGTTCTGGAATTTGAAACTCAATAGCTGCCTTAGAATGCTTTGTGCTGCTTTAACTGAATACAGAGTGGGTTCTTTATGAGGACCTGAGGCTTTCTCAGCCCACATTCTAGAGGCTGGTGGGCTTAAGGTCAAGGGGCCATATCTAGGGAGGGTCTTCTTGCTACCACTGACATGATGTAGCTCATTGTTTTCAAAACAGACCACTCACATGGTAACCCACTGTGTCATTGGTCCATTAATCAATGATTTAATGACTCCAAGGTCTCACCACAAAATGTCATTGCCAGATAACTTTGGGGATTAAGCTTCTGATACAAGAATTCTGGGGTGCAAACACTCAAAGCATAGCATGGCCTTCAACAAGATAGGAGCATATGAGGCATACTGTCATTTTATCATGAGTGTCCTGTGTAAGAGACACAGACGTGTTTATATCTTGCTATAATGTCAGAGTTTGTTGCATAAATCCACAAGCTTTGTCAGTTTCACTGGCTACAGCTTACCAAACATCCCAATTTCTCTTGACGGTTGGCTTTTGGCATCATGGGTTCTTTTATTCCAATATTAATTACTATTATTGACACTCATTTTCACACAGTTATATAAGAATGTATATGTGTGGGTATGCATGTATTTATATAGGATAAAAAATGGCTACTACAGGGTTAGAGAGACCACTGAGCTCCAAGATGCCTCATTGAAAGCAGAGGCAAGATGGCTGATGAAGATGAAGAGTCACTGAGGTGGTTAGATGGGCTAGTAAGGAGGTCATTGGAAGGTGCTCAAGTAGTCTAGCAGCTGAGCCACGCTGTAGATCCACAGAGTCATAGGTCTGTTGTTGAGTAAAGGTCCTATTGGAAGGAAGGATGGATGGATGGATGGATGGATGGATGGATGGATGGATGGATGGACAGATGGTTAGATGGATGGACAGATGGACAGATGTATGTATGGGCAGACAGTTGTTTGAGTCGTCTGTATTAAGCAGTTGGGACCATACTAAGCTGAACTACCTAGTGCAGTCAGGTGGTCAAGTGACAGGTTGGTGGAGATGTTGACATCAAGACACTTGGTGTCCCTCTTTTAAATGGGGTCCAGGTGAGGATGGTGTGCTCTTCCTTGTCTGCTCAGTAAGTTTATAGACCAGGCTTTTCTAACATGGTTTTCATAGGCCCACATGTCTATGTGTTCTCCATGTACTTCAATGGGTTTATAGGTGGTACCTTCTTATTAATATACATACATTGCTTATTAGTCTGTGCCACAGACTGGTTTCCACACATTGTTTCACTTGACAGTCAGCCATACTGCCTTTCCCCAGCAGCTCACAGAGATCTGCTCCACTCTTCCTAATAGATCAAAACGGCGCTGGGTGGGTGGGTGTGCTGCCATTTGACTATCTAGTTCCCACTGCTGGATGCTTAGCTTGTTTTCCATTGCTCTAAACAATGATCTGATGGTTTCCTCGGGAAATATCCCTGGGAGGGAAGTTACTGGGGCAGAACACTGCATGCACCTTAAATATACTGTGATTTGCATCGATGACTTGGCTTAAGGAGATTTACAAGTTCCCGGCTCCCAAAAGAGGACAGAGTCCTTTTCTTGGACCGCTGTGTCTCTGAATGCTGAATCATCTTTGTCTTTGCCAGCTATTTCCATAATGATCATTATTTTGTGTTCCTTTAAATTTGCTTCCTTAGATTGCCAGAGATTGAACATCTTTTCTTAAAGTTATTAGCTATTTGCATTCTTCTTTTACAGCCTTGAGCATTTTGGACTTTTGCCTGGTTTGAAATTAGAATGTTATCTTTTTATTGACGAAGGGGAACATTTTGTCTGCCAGATACACTGCTCATATTTTTCCCCTCAATATTATATTCATTTTTAAACATCATTTACATCTTTTACTGTGCCTAGATCTTAAATTTTTATGAAGTCAATCCTGGAAGCATAAAACTTAAAAGACAAACACCCCTGACTTCATATTGTGCAACGTTGCAGATGGTCATTGGTTTCATTTCTTGGATCTCTATGCACTTCCGCAATCTAATGTGGCTGCTATGGGATTTGCGTCTTTGCTGGGACCATTGGTTCCACCAATGGAAGCGACAAAGCCCACCATCCCTCCTCTTCTGTGAAACCTTCCCTCTGTGTGTGAAAGAGCCTGACTGTCATATTAGGAGGTGAAACTGGGGACCCTAACTCATGCCAGCACCAAGTACGGTGGCACCACCAGAAGATGTGACAGGCAAAGCCATCCCAGACTCCCAGCCCTTGTCTCACGTGATGGCTGAGCAAGCCTCCTGGAGACAGCCACACCTTGCCCAGATCAATGCAACTACCCAGACTCTCCAGAGACGTGTCAGCTAAGGTCAGTCACCACAGCTTACATCCTCAAGCTTTTGGGCAGCTTGCTCCGAGGCCATAAAGGGCCAAGTCACCTACACTTTCTTCTGTACTGAGTTTTACTTGGGGTTTAACTTTTGCTTACATCCTTTAACTCACATAAAATTCATTTTCATATACTGTGGGAAGTGAGCAGAGGAGCTTCGGGCTTTGTTATTTTTTTTTTTTCTTCTAAATGTATAACAGATTCTCCCAACACTATTTTTTGAACTGCCTTTTGCCACTCATTTGAAATGGTTCTCATTAGCTAAATTTTCATATGCACAGGGCTGTCTTTTAAGATATTCCTTATATGTTCTGCTGATTTCTTTCCATATTCATGCACCACTAACACAGTACTTATTACTTAATTTTTGCATACAACTTGTTGACTGGCATCATAGAGAATAGTGTAGGAAGCCAGTTATTAGGATTCAGGGGAGGCACACTGTCTTTAATCCTTTCACACTCCTCGTGGAATCGGCTCAGCTTTTGTGACATGGTGGTGATTACCAAATTGGCTTTTTGGAAGAGGAAACATTTAGCCTGCCAGCACAGCGGGAATGGCGGCATTCACTACACTAGAAATCCACTGAGAGCCTTGTGGTTTATGAGGAGGACGTCAACAATTGTCTCTTGTCCTCACAGCTCTGTATGGTATAAGGCAACCCACCTGAGACAGGAGAGAAAAGAGAAGGAACTCTAACACTCACAGGGAGTTTGCTCTGAGATGGCCCATTCCTGCCGTTTGACTTTCCCAACAATCCAGTGTAGTGGGTGGGTGGTTTGTACCAGGTCCTGAAGCACTGCCCCTAGTGAGGCAGCAGGGAGCTGCTAGGTCCACCTGACCCTTGGGCATGGCAACGAGGGACCCTTAAGACCTGGGATGCGTGTACGTGTGCTCTCTTCTCTTTGTACCTTGTGCTCTTGGATGCTGGTGCAGATCAAGGCAGAGCTCTCCGGAGAACCGAGTTGGACCGAGCCCCACCCCTCCAGGATTCTGTGACCAACTTCTTTACTCTGATTGTGAGTTAACCCCCAAATAAATTCCTTTGACCATCAAATAGACTCCGTGGATTCATCCCATTAATCTGGAGAGGTCTTACATCTGTTTTTCGGAGGAGAATGTGAGGTGCATGCAAGATCAAATAGCTATATACATCAATATCCCATAGTAA